GGTGAATGACTTTCATTCTAGTAATCTTGGCTAGAATGACTTCAGTAAGGAAGTAGAATGTAGGCATAATCACACCTTCATCTGCTACTGGATATTTTATACATGTCATAGTTTGAAATTCAAAAATGTATGATTACATTCAACAGCACTCAAATTCTAAATGTATTTGGTGAGTATGAAAATGGTGTCATTTCTTAAATATATGATATTAAATTTCTGCCTCCAACATATTATATGCAAATACTTAATACGGAATGTGGGAAGGAACCGTAGCAAATTGAGATCACAAAGGCAAAAAACCTGTCGACATTTGCTAAGCATTTGCCACATGCGCAAATCGCTTCATGTCTGCGGTGAAGGGAAAGACAATCCACGGTTCAGCAGCAGACGCCCATTATGTTGCCCGGCGTCTAAGAGCACGTGATGAACTCCCACTGAAACCACGACAAAGCGTTCGACGCGACTCAGTTCGACTACAAGAAGTGACTTGCTCTGCTTTCGCGCCACCGTTTACTGTACAAGTGATTATGCAAAGGAATTTATCTGTATAAATGCTCCCCGCTTACAAGATTACGACTGCTGTGGCAGCTGGACAAGCGCCCTTCTCTCAGCAAACCGCTTGTTCATGCCGTCACTCTTTCGAGCGAACATTTTCCTACCCATCTCTCGAAACCGACCACTGCATCCGCGGGTGTGCACAATGTCCACGACCACGCAAATGCGGCGCCGATATCACTATCCTCGACTCGATGATATTGAGGACCTTGAGAAATACCGACCTGGTGGATTTCATCCAGTGACTATCGGGCAAGTCTTCGCTGGAGGGCGATATAAAGCCTTGCACAAACTTGGATTTGGCGGCTCTTCCACGGTCTGGCTTGCTCGGGATCAGCACTCGCAAGAGCAACCGCAACGCTCGGGGAGGCTTGTAGCCCTAAAAATCTTAAGTGCAGAGCAGTCGTCCAATCCCACAAAGGAGTTCCCAGAATTGTACATCTCCCAGGAGCTCGATGCATTCTCCCGTGCTCATGGTCATGTAGGGAGAGAGAACATACAGTTTATTCAGGACCATTTTATGGAGAAAGGCCCAAATGGGGTCCACCGATGTCTGGTTTCTCAGTTCGCTGGACCAAGCATTCTTTCGATGGCTGAATGTCCCGGACGAGTATCGGGAAGCCGGCGACTCCGGGGTGATTTGGCGAGGAAAGTGGCAAAACAAGTGGCCACAGCAGTAGAATGCATGCATTCTGCAGGGATTGTTCATGGAGGTTCGTCTTTGGCGAGATGCCTTATCTGTGCAGATGATTTGGTTCCGTGTTCACCGTTGCTTTTAATCCTTGCCTAGATCTTACATCATCCAACATTCTCTTCAAATTGTCTAGCGAAGTTGACAAGTGGACAGATGATGACGTGTACGATGCACTTGGTACACCCGAGATGGAAGAAGTAGCTACCCGTGATGGTTCACCACCAGGCCCTTGTGCGCCCTCGCAAGTAGTTGCCCCTATCGACGTTTCGCGCCTTTCTTCATCGTCGCTACTCCAAGAGAACATTCTCGTCACCGATTTCGGTCAATCCTTTTTCATTAAATCCCCACCAACGGGCTATGAACCGGCCACGCCACTACATTATCTATCCCCAGAAGCATATTTCGAATCGAAGATGAGCTTTGCTTCAGACATTTGGGCCTTGGCGTGCATGATCTTCGAGATTCGGGCTGGATCCCCGCTCTTTGATCCCTTCCTCAGCAGCGCCACTCAAATCCTAAAGCAAATAGTGGAAACGTTAGACAAGTTTCCAGAACCGTGGTGGAGTTTGTGGGAAGCCCGGCACATATTTTTTGACGAGACGGGTGTACCGAAATCGCAGGAGGTGCAGATTGACGAAGGCGTGATGATCCCTGCAGAAAAGAGCTCTCTTCGTCAAAAGTTGCATGAGATTGGAGAGCAGGACGACGCTCCGGACGTATACGAAGGGAGAATGATTGAGAATGTGGGAACGCAGCTCGAGGAAGTAGAGATTGAACTCTTGGAAGGTCTGTTGGAGAAGATGCTGAGATATCGCCCGGAGGATAGGATCACTATGACGGAAGTGGTGGAACATCCTTGGTTCGCGTACAAGTGATTACTTGCGATGTGACGCGGAGAACTATCATGACTGACTAGTACAGTCTGTACTGGTTTCAGGGATGGTCGGATGATCATCATTCTTGCAACGAATTGATTCTTTAGCGCTGACCGATGAGGTATATGACGCGTGCCAAACAAAGTCTACATACAAAATTGCGCGTGTCCCAGTAGGTCCCAGTCAAATCTCAAGCCTGAGGCCTCAGAACCCGACATGGTAAAAGATCCTGCTTGCCTTTACAATTGCTAGCAAGACAGTCAAGGGCGTACTGGTGGTGTAGGATGGGCCAATGAATGCGCCGTGTGTCGTGAAGCGCGGCAGCGCATCTCACATTATTGTCCGTCATCATATCTTCTCTTGAGAGGTGGTGCATTGATGGACTGTCCAGAATCAAAGTTGGTCCCGGTGCGCACCTTGCGTTTGGAGCGGGCCACGGCGGTGTGCGCACTATGACAAGCCTGCTCGAGCTAGAGAGGTCGCGATCATATTTGCTGCAACGAAGACGCTATCTTGCTGAGAATCTAGGTTAGCACTGGATGTTTTTTGCGTTTCTGCCTGTCAGCACTTCCCGTAGGAAGGAGGATAAGTCCACGAAACAGTCCTCTACGCGGCGAGCATAGTCACTTAAAAGGCCTTCGTGGCCCAGCGCCTACACATAAATGCATCCACTCGGACCCGCGCGGACGTGGTCATACCTGTGGCCAGTAGGCTGCAAGTCCGTCTGACGATTATGATGCACAGTCAGCTCGCAAAGCTCTCGATGAAGGTGCGGCGCGTGCGGATGCCCTGCACGATGTTCTTGAGCGCTCCATCCCATCGACGAGTTCAGAGAGTGCAGTCTCGATCATTGAATATTGAGTAGAGGAACTGGCGGGATACACATGGCTGCAAGGTAAGAGCAACACATAGGATGTCAATGTGCATGAGAGCTACTTGTCGAATGCACCCAGGTAAAAACATTAAAAACCACAGCACCTAGGATTCCCGTGTGGTCCCCCACCATGGTACTAACTGGGCGGCACTCTGGTTAACTGCGCAGATCGGACGGGATGCGGTGCTTTCAGAGTCCTATGGCCGTGGATGAGAATGCATATGCTGGATTACCTATATACCGATGCGTATGGTGCCGTGCAATCATACTCACTGTGGAGGATATGGCGAATGAAAATTATGGTCGATGCGAGCGCACCTGCGAGAGGCATCTAGCAGCTTTTTTCAGCTGCTCGAGTAGAGGTCAAGTCTGGCCTGCAAAATACAACATCGGAGGGCGGGCGATCATATCGACACAAAGCACAACAGGTCCAACGTACTGCTCGCAGAAGCCGTATCTTGATCGCTGATATTAAACGAAAGCTGAGGTTGTCATCTGACAAATTCTTCAAGCTGGGATAGAGTGCGCAGAGACTCGGAGAGCAAATGAGATCCCAGGCGTTATGAACCGGTATTCACTGCTGACGTCTGAAGCTCAAGATCCGTAGAATCCGCGGGCACTGAGCGTGGACGAAACCGATGCGTTTGCAGAGCGGTGCGCAGCCTATGACTGAACCCATGATGATGCCAAAGTGCTTACTTGCACGACGTGTACTGCAGCGCCCTTTGCGACATATGCATTTGATGGGCCAGACCAAGATGCGAGCCGAGGTAACATACGTAAGTAACCCGTGTGGCCATATAAGCGAACGGCGAGAGCTGGACTCGAAAAAAGGAACGGAAGTGGCCGGAGTGAGCATCACACAGGGGAACGGAGGAGAGCTCGGCATGTTCCTCCTGATGAGAAGCCCATCACATCGCCGACCGGAGTGAAGGAGGCCAATAACAAACGATCAGATCGTGCGTATGAAGACATCGGGGCCTGCGATCTCGCAAAGCATAACGTCACGGGTAGATTCTGGGGTTGGAGTTGCAAGGCGCCAGGTCGGGTCAGGTCCGTCTTACGTCCGCCAGTCCATACAGCGGCATCCGTCCAGGTACCAGCCGCCATCCCTACGCGAGCGGATACGCGAGATGCTTCGAACTGCAAGAGAGAATCCGCATTTCCTCGCCAGCACCAGGATCCAGACCTACTATCGCGCGAGGACGAGTAATGCGCCAAGCGGTATCGTGTCGACATGCGAATGACGTGAAACACGAGTAATGCATCACAGATACGCCCGTCCAGCACACGCGCTGGGAAGTGGCATCATCGAATTGAAATGGATACAGAAGCACGCACCGAATATGCAAATGCGAACGCTCACATCGAAACGTCAGGGTGGCAACGTCAATCAAAGCGGCAGACCTGCCAAATGACGATGATCAGGTAGATCCTCTAGCGACAGTGGCCTCCGGAAAGTTCACAAGCGTGCACATATGCTGACGACCTGGGTTTGGCAGGTGAGTCCTCTATCGAGCATGACGGCCTGAGAAAACGCCACAGTGGATCTATTTTTGAACGCATCAGGACCGTCTTGCACACAATCTGTCATCCTTTTTGAAGCATTCCACACACACGCACGTCAACCCACCAGAATACATAGCCATTTCAGCACGCCAGTCGCCAGAAGCACAAAACCGCATCGCAGGCCAGAAGGCCCTTGTTATCTGAGACAGCAGCAGATATCGCAGCCCCGGATGATCGACTTGCCGTTCCAGCGAGATGCACGGACAGTCAGGCGAGCACAGCGCACGCAAGCGAGTGGACGAACTAACACGACTCGGGCAAAGCGCCCGCCAGCCTGTAGGTAATATAACGGGACGGGTGCACTCACTCTTCCGATCCCGCCAGATCGCATCTCGCGCTCGTCCACTTGCTTGATCAACAGACGCCTCCCCTCGGACCGGCTGGGCTGCAAGGCTTGCAATGAGACACGCGCTGAACGCAGACACGACAAAGCAGGCTCTCGTACAAACAGCGACCATCAATCCATCCTCGCACCGCCAGTTGAAGTCAGACTCGAGCAAGACCCGTCCCAGACAAAAGTCACACCATTCATATCAAACCCCGGAGGCATCAACGAGGCACAATTGCCGGAGGACAGCGTCAATCGCCGTCATCCGCGCTGGGCCGCGGAGGCGTAAGCCACCATCCCGAGATGGCTTGTTCCCCGGTCAGATGAAGAAGGTGGGTTTCCCCGCAAGTTAGCAACGTACGTACGGCATGATGTGAAAATGAAAATGGTACGAGATTAGGGTGACGGCGAGCAAAGAGATACCAAGGAGATGGCCAGGCGATGCATGCGCGAGGTCCGGGCGGAGATGAGCTAAGTTGTAGTCAGGAGACGATGCGCAAGTCTAACTCTAACTCGTCAACGGGGCACGCCTCTTGCGCGTGCGCATTCGCACATCAGGTCTGCAGAAACAGCAAGGAGCCAAGGTTGCATCTATCCGTCGCGATGGCGTTCTGGTATCTGGTTCCCGCTGCCACGCGTGAGAGGTCGAGACCGGCCACCGCTGGAAGACAACTTCGTGCGTCGAGGTGCGGCGATTAACCCATCCACGTATGGCGAAAACAGTACCACATCCCCTAGGAAGCAAGCATTCTCTCAGCCAGCCAAGTCGATGGATCCAACCGACATGATGCCAAGCAGTCGTTCCAAAAACCACATTAACATTCCCATCTTCCACAAACGGCTTTCCAAGCACCCAAGCCACCTTCATCTCCCAACTCATCCCCAGCGGACCAACGTGCGAAGCACCGACTAGCTGACAAACCCCCACGTTCACTCCGACTCGTCACGAGCATGTGAATCACCGCAGACAGTCAGCTGGCCGTAATAATAGGCTCCGGAGATCGTGGCACGCGGAAGACGAAGACGCGAAGGCGGAATCGGGCCACCACCTGATGCCTTGACGTGAGTGGCTATCAATAGTAAATATCTGATTTGCGCCATCCCATCCCAGCGCGGACGTTTATCAGCGCGAAGAGAGTTCTGAAGGAGGGGTGGGGGTGGCATAAAGTAGTCTTGAGACGAGGATCCGTTCATCGTGTAAGCAGAGGCTCCATAGAGACTCATCGTGCGCAGTCGCCAAGGGTGCTCAAGTCGCAAATTGGACGCACCAAAATCGTCAACAAGCCACACCTGCTTAGCGAACAACAGAAGCACGGTGTTTCCCTCCGCCGCCGCCACGGACCTCGGCCTCGAGGCGTTTCTTCGCCGTTCAACGTTCAATATCAAAGCCCATCACGAATTCGAACAAACGACGACAATCCAATCGCGAAACCACCCCATCCGTCATCGACCCCCTCCCGTCATCCATCAACACGCCTTGATTCAGACTGATGGCAATCAGCGGACTAGGCGGATTTCAAACCCCAAGAATCTTGGTTGCACGCGCGGTGATCCAAGTCGACATTTGCTGTGTCGCAGCCCAGCGTACCAGTGAACAGGACTAGCGATGGTGAAACAAACCAGCCTCGGAGAGCGAAGTTGTCGACACTATTCAAGACCATAGCGCCTAACTAGACAGGAACCGAGCAAGTCAAGCCACCGAGGACACCATGATGGTGCAGGACCACACTAGCATAATGAGACGCGGACCAGAAATACAGAACCAAGAGAGAGATAGGCACGGACCATGCGTGAGTGTTTCAATGGGGCGCTTCTTCTCGCGGTCCTGAAAAAGCGATCAAAGACGTCAGCGCCATGAAATCGCGAGAGAGACGCGCATTGGAAAGCGCGGTATTGACGTCGCGAGGTGGCGCTCTCCGTGTCAGATAGGCGGTGTGCGCACATGTTTCGTGTCCAAGAGTTATGCCCGGCAGACCTTGCAGAGTCAACAGCACTTGCGCGTCGAGGCCACACACGTCAAGGATGGAAGAGAAATCCAGAAGGACTCAACGCCCCTGCCCAATATCCGCCTTCATCGCTGCCTGCTCAGTTCTGGCCGCGGGACGTGGCGCATCGCACGAACAGCATCGTCAAAGCACCAAGTCCGACGAGCCCAAATGAGCGCGGCAGCGGAACGAGCAGAGACTAGAGTAACAGAGCACGCACGAGCCCTTAGAACGTCGAAATCCGCTCTCCCGAATCGTGTTCGTCCAACTGCAACGTGCGCTGTCAAAGCAAGTATCCGACGGTAGACGGAAGCTCGCCGTCTCGATATTGATATGCGAACTGAATGCACGCTCCAACTGCGCAGGTCACGAGCGGATAAGTAATAAGATCCGCACGAAGCAAGACGCAAGACCCTGTCGTCGCAAGCAAGCTGAAACCCCGGCCGCCTACATACCAACCAAAGACGCCCATATCATCTGCACATCTGCACATCTGCACGAAAGCAAGCTCCGCGACGCCGTCTTCAGGTCCCAAGGCTCAAGTCCTTTGTCCTGCCGCAGTTCGGACTTGAGCGTACACACCGTACACGTAGATCCGCGCAACGCACAGAACGGGTTAGCAAAGCTGAGAAACCTCGGAGCCAACCCCCGGGTCAAGAGTGCGAACGTGAAGTTGTGTCCCTTCCTCCGGGAATCACAATCAGAGATGGAAATCAGCGAGATCATGCTGAATCGAGCTAAAAGTCCAAGTCCGAAGCTATCGAAGCAGAGAATGTACATGTGCCAGCCAGCCAGAAGGACAGACGGGAAACGGGAACCACCGAACGAGCGCCGGCATCGTCGGACGAAGAGTGAGAGCTAGCTTCTACGGTGTAGAAGTCTAGTCCACGATGCAGGTTTGCACAACGATAGTCAGTCAGCGCAGCTAATCAGGTGCAACGCGCTCCAAATTGCCGTCCGATCTTCGAGCGTCGAGTTTGGGCCAGCAAGTCCAGTCCTCAGAGAATGAACATGATTTCGGGTCGTTGCTGATTCCAATTCCGACGCGAGACGCATTCCAAGAGCAATGAATTGCGGCCTACGCACACGACAAGGCGCATAGACTCGTCTTGTCGGCGGCCTGTCCCACCACACCGTTTCATGATCTCCTTCATGAAGCAGATGAAGCAGGCACGAGAGACGTCGATGAAACCTCGGGGCCCACAGACGCCCATAGAACTCTGCATATCAAACGCAAAGTGCCTGAGCGAAGATCCGCGCATTCGTAGGAGGAGCCGGCGGCACAAGAGAAGCGCCCGAGACTTGTTTCTGGTCGATATATGGCACATGCGCGAGTCGAAATGAAGAGCTGTAACAGCACCAAGAGCACTTGGGAGCGGGAACGCGGATCAGGCCGCGATTCTATTAATGACCAGGAGCACAGGAGCACACAAGAAGTGTTCGCCGAGCAGACCATCTTGGAGGAGTGAAGAGCGGATGTGAAGAGCGTCGGACCTTGCACTGAGCAAATGCACCTTGTCAGCAGCCCAAACTCTCGCTGGTCATATAACAAACTCTACGCACGGGCATTCCGTCATCGATGTCGCGCATCTCGCTTGCCTTTTGATCAGATACGCCCTCGCCGCCGCCTCTTGGACGGGCGGGGCCTGCCATTCCGAGCAAAGAGGGCAGATTCTCGCCATGAGGCAGCTCGCGCGGGATCATAGCCCGATCCGCGGCGCATGGTACCGGCTACTTGTGGGACGGGACTCGGGAGGGGAGGAGGCCGATGACGGAGGTAACCCGAGGAGGGGGTTGGATGTGAGCCATTTCAAGTGGGCTCCGCTGGCCGAGACGTTGGCGGTCGCTGCGCGCGGGCGTTGTGGGGCGCGAGTGTAGGCGGTGCGCTGGGAGGGTGCCACGGGAGGGTGTGTGCGTTGTCGAGTTGGCTTTGGGCTGGGCGAGAGCGCGGACGCCGGGATGTAGTAATAGTAGTTTGATGATCCTGAGAGAGCAGCCATAGGAGTGCAAATGGAATGCTTGGTGGGGAATGGGATTGGAGGAGCTCAGCCACCAAGGTGTGGCACAGAAATATGGGCGTCGGATGTCTGCGACGGGAGCAAGGCGGGAGGGAGGTCGAGAAGAGGCGAGGAAGGGCGAGAGGCGCCCTCGGAGTCGGACATTGCATTGATCGTGGTCCGACGAACGCTGCTTCTCCCATTGGCTGGGCACTGCACAGATGGGAAGCACGTCTCCCATTGCAGTGCGTGCATTAATGATACGATTCGCAGGCGTTCCGCATGAGTGCCACACCGAGCGCAGTGGCGTCAAAGAAGAGCACAGACCGGACGGGGGACCGGCGGAGCCCGGCCGATGCACCGACGCGCCGCTCGGCTCTGCACGCACACCACGCAGAAGCAAACACACCATGCCATCAGATCTCACTAGCCGTAACAAGCGAGCACAGCAGATAGACCATCCCTTCACACCTCCCGCCCGCGCAATGACAGCGACACCGACGGGCGTCGATATTGCAATGCGTAGCACTTCGACCGAAGAGCGGCGGTGGCGGGAGGGACGGAGGGGGCGCCCGGGGGATGTCGGGAAAGAGGCCCCACTGAGGGAATCGGACGGTTACGTCAGCAGACGCTCTGCCAGAAAATCTGCGCGGACCTTCCGTATTTGAGCAAACAGGCCACTGCCCTTCCTTTGGTCTGCCCTTGCTCTGCTCGCACATCGATATATCTCCTCCTCTTCCTCTGCCCACCATGTTCATTCACCCCCGCTGCTAGCACCTCCCCCTCTCCCCCCCGTGCTCGTGCTCGAGCTCGCTGCCCAGCACGTCCGCGGACCAGTCCACCCCTGACCTCGCTCTCCCTCGCACTCCCCCATCCCCCATCACCCATCACCCCGTCGTCCCCATCTCTCCCTCGCCAGCAGCCTAGCCACGATGGCCCCGACCTACGCGCCCTGCCCGCGACCCATCCTCAAGCGGCCCAGCACCGTCCCCGCCCCCGACATCCCCGCCCAGTCCGACGCCTCCTCCGAGCTGCTCGCCATCGACCGCGGCATCCTCACCCCGCTCGTCCGCTTCCCCCCACGCCCCTCCCTCGCGCGCACCTTCTCCGCGTACTCGTCCCAGGCGTACGACCGCTCCCCCATCGTCGTCCAGCCCAACCGCTGCGCCCTCCCCGAGCGTGGCTGCCCCGGCCGCACCTACGCCGTCGGTGACCCTGCCGCCGCGTCCTCACCCTCAAGACGCACCCGCAGTCCCACCCGCGGCCGCCATCTCCACCCCCGTGCTGTCCGCAATGTGAGCTACCGCGAGCGTGAGCGCGACGACGAGGACGACGAAGACGACGACCCGACGCCACGAGGGACGCCCCTTATTCCCGCCCTCCCCGCGCTAGTGCCGGACCTCTCCTCTGAGAGCGACGAGAGTGACGGTTTCACGAGCCCGCCCACCGAGCCCGCCCCAGGTATGTACGCGCCTGCTCTTCGCTACGCGTGGCGCTAATAACCGTGCACAGGCACGTATCGTACCGGGCTGGCGATCCCCCGCTCAAAGGGACAGGACAAGGACGTCGACACGCTCGGTCTCACATTCTCGAGCGCACTCGCGTTCCTCCCGCACCCGCACGACCGTGTGTCGTCCTCGCCCTCGCGCGCGCACCATCGCATGCTGTCTGCGCCGTCAATAGCGAGCTCGAACCCGCCGCCGCCTGCTCCGACAATACCTCAGCCCCCGTCCGTGGACGAGGAGCGATCGCGCACACGCCATCGCCGCACGCAGTCGAACCGTAGTCCGACGCGCAGGCGGGGCGTGCGCACGCGCGACGCGGCGTGCCCGGGCGGGGAGGAGGAAGATGACCAGGGGCGGTACAAGGCGCTCAGCGAGCGGTGTACGTTGAGCGGGTGTGCGCTGACGGTGCCGGATGTCGGGTGCTTCGGTGGATTTTGAGGAGTGAAGAGGCCAAGACGAAGACAAAAATCGAACAACAACTGTACAACCTACTCACGCACGCACGCCACGCTACAAGCATGATATCCCCTCAAGCTTTGCACGTCCACAAGTTTACTCTGCAATTCACGTATTCAATGCTCAATACCGTTACGAACCCGCGTATGCGAATAGTGCGCTCGTCCATGGACTGTCGAACTTCAGGCATCCATCCATGTGTTCGCCGTTCACGTTTGACGTTCAAGACCCTTGCAAGCCTATACCTCCTCCTTCATTTACGATAAGTTATGCGCCTCGGTCCGTTCGTATGCGCACGCATATATACGCTACTGGGCTGCTTTCTCGTTCACTATTGTACCATTCCACCGCGCCCCGTTCTGCCTATGGGTTTCCACTTATTGTACCCTATGTGCGTCCTTTCATCGGCACACTTTTGGTGTGCGTTCGTGTCGGTTGGGTGCGCGGCGCTGTTTGTTCACGTTCGTGTGCATATGCTAGTTCGTGTGTATACACTACTAAGTACTTCGCTGTGAATACTATATTTTTCTACTACGGACGGTACTGGTGTTGCTAAGCGTGCCTGTGTGATGAGAATGCCTCCGAGCTCGATCGACCGACGCCAGGGAAGCGATACGAATCACGGAGGTAATTTCCAAGTGCAAGGTGGCCACCCGAATTCGAAGGCGCCAGCTGCAAGGGATGTTCTCCTCATCCTCATCGGAGGGGAGGTCGGAGATACGACGACCCGATCCTCAGCGTGACCCTCCCTCTTCACATCGAGCTGACGGATGCCTCCGACCTCGATCGATGCCGGGGAGGCAGTCAGGAAGGTCCTAAGTGCAGGGTGGCCACTCGAAGCCGCCTTCTCATCCGGACGGAGATGACACGACGCGGGCCTAAGCGTGATCCTTGCCAGAGCGCACGGTGTGTTGCACCCTCTTCACGCTTCACGCTTCACATCGAGCCACGGACTCGGAGGTCCGCGTCTCACGCGCCCGTCTCGTTCGCAGCCAGGGCGCCAGGATTAGAGTATTAGGCATACGCTGCGTGAGGGCGGCCGTGCGTGTGTGCGATCGCGATTGAGTTGGATTTGAGACGGTCACCAGGGCATGGCATACGGTCGCGCGCGCGCGCGTGTGCAGGCGGCAAGCTGGGGAGAAGCGGGGCACGGGAAGCCCCGGAACTCGTGCCACCGTACGGGCCAAGTCCATTCGTTCGTTCGTTCGTTCGTTCGTTCGTTCCAGGGATCCGTTCGGTGGGCACGAACGGTGGAGCGTTTGACCCGCGCCGGAAAGGACGCACGGTGGACGAATGAATGATGGATGTATCACAGATGGATCAAGGCAGGCCACGAGGAAGTCCCGGAGCTCGTGCACGCCAAGTGCAAAGCACCGTTGGTGCATTCGATCCAGACATTCGTTCGGCGGGCACGGCGGTGGAGCGTTTGGCCCGCGCCGGAACGGACGGTAGACGAATGAATGAATGGGTACAATTTCCCCAGGCCCGGGTGAATGGATGGATCGCGCCGCGGCGGGCGCCCCGACGTTCCTGCCAGCCAGCCTTGTCTTTGTCCTTATCCTCATCGTTATCATTCGATATCAATATTCAGTTCCGCAGGAGCTGGTGATCTGCGGGAACTCTACTGGAAGAGGGTAGGAAGAGTTTAGGAAGAGGTTAGGTGGGGTGGACGATCGCGAGGAGGAAAGGGTGGTCGGAGCATGATGCATGATGGGCACGAGGCTCGCGTCCCCCGACGAAGCGGAGAAGGCTTGGAAGGCTTACTACGCAGTGCTAGGCTAGCGCTAGTGATATGCTGTGAGGCTTCGCATGCGCACCTCAGATTCAGATAGAGGGCAACTTCGGACGCTGATCTGCGCGGACGCAAAAGGACGAAGGACGTCCTTCGTCTGCGCCGAACAAACGTTTCTATTCAGTACTTGCGCACGGTCGATAGCCACATGTATACCCGCGGGGATGGCAATGCGGTGCTGCATTCGTTTATGCAGAGGCCCGAAGCTCGAAGCGAAGGCCAAGCTTGCACATGCGAGTCGCGAGGATGTGGAGAAGGTTTGTGAAATTTTTGGGGATTTGTATTCTGCGATGGCGGCCGCGCGGCGCGGCGGGTCGCGAACAAGAAATGTCGACGAGCAATTCACAAAAAAAGAGAGCTCTAAGCCCCGGAGCTTGGTGGCGTCGTCTCGAGCGACCTTGTCCCTGGCGACTCGTCACTCGGCGCAATCTCGGGAGACGTCGACAGCCCGGGTATCAAAAGCTCATATTAATTGTGGGGCACGGAGAATGGAGGCGGCGCGTGAGTATAGTTTGCGCTGTTCGCGAGAGGGAGAGACAAAAGACTGATCGGACAGACAATAGTGCGCGGCAAGGACGTTCGACGTAGTACAATTGCCTTCCGCACATAGGCACCGCTCCTCAAATTCAAAGCTCACGCTATAGTAGCGCTCACTAGTCACTGCCCATGGACGCTTAAAAACGTTCGCTCGAAAGATGAACAAGCCATTTGCTGAGAAGGGCGCTTGTCCAGCGTTACTCTAGTAAGCAGAGAGTATTTACAGGGAGGAAACATTTGCATGATCACTTGCAATACAGTAAATGGTGGCGCGAAAGCAGAACAAGTCGAGCTATAGGTCACTTCTATCCCTGTGAGCTGGTTGCCATAGCGCCTGCTACAACAACTTGAATACGTAGGCGCCATCTGAGAACTCTCACCGGACGGACTATGGAGATCCCATTCATCACCATCCCCCCCTCGGCGCCGCACACCCATACCGTCGTCTTCCTCCATGGGCGCGGCGACAATGCGCGACACTTCGCGGCCTCGTTGGCTTACTCGCGCGACTCGCGCAACCGCACCGTCGTCCACGCCTTCCCCAGCTTCCGCTGGGTGTTCCCCGGGGCTCCCCTGCGCAAGTGTGCGAGCTCCCCCGACACGTGGCCGCAGTGGTTCGACGTCTGGAACGTGCGCAATTTTGCCGAGCGCGAGGAGCTGCAGGCCATCGGGCTCCGGGAGGCCATCCCCGCCATCCGCCGCATCCTGGCTAGCGAGGCGGCGCTGCTGGGAGGACGCTGGGACCGCGTCGTGCTGGCGGGCATCAGCATGGGCGCCGCGACGGGCGTGCACACGCTGTTCAACCTCGACGTCCCCGCCGCAGGGGGCGGCAGGCTCGCTGCGTTCGTGGGGTTCTCGTGCCGGTGTCCATTTGCCGGTAGAACGCTCGCCGAGATGCGGAAAGTCCTCGGTGTGGAGGAAGGTGTCCCGGACCACGCGGATGTCCTTCTCAACACGCCCATGCTGCTCGAGCACTGCGTCGATGATCCGCTGGTCTTGGTCCAGAACGGCTGTGGCTTGCGAGACACGTTGCGCGGATTCGGGGCGCAGGTCGAGTGGAAGGAGTATCCGAGCGGAGGCCATTGGTTCAACTCGCCGGCTGGGATGGATGATGCGGTGGACTTCCTGAACAGGCACGTTCTTGAGAAACACAGTGCCGGAGAGCCTTCGATGCAGCCTCAGGCCTCGTCTGATGCAATGGATCTGTCTTAGAACTCGCCCATCATAGAGGATTTCAGTAATGGTATTGATCAATCTATGGATAGACTTTTTGCTTAAAAGATCGTTACAGGTAGAACGTGATTCCAATCTCGACAGCAGAAATTTCCATACTTCTTCGGAATTAAAGGGTTCATCGGGAAAGTAGGCATTTTTCAATTCTTCTAGAGAGCTATGCGAACTAGCCCGCCCCACAGCCAGCTCTCGTTCATTTCGATATCAATACCGAGACGGCGAGCTTCCGTCTACCATCGAATACTTGCTTTGACAGTGTACACTGCACTTGGCCGAACACGATTTGGTGAATCGGATTTCGACGTTCTGCGTGCTCGTGCATGCTTTGTTACTCTAGTCTCTGCTCGTTCCGCTGCCGCGCTTATTTGGCTTCGTCGGACTTGGCGCTTTGACGATGCTGTTCGTGCGATGCGCCAAGTCCCGCGGCCAGAACTGAGCAGGCAGCGATGAAGGCGGATATTGGGCGGGGTGTTACATAGGCATTGAGTCCTTCTGGATTCTTTGCGTGTCCTTGACGTGTGTGGCCCGACCGACCCGCAAGTGTTGTTGATTCTGCACGTGCTGCCGGGCATAACTCTTGGACACGAAACATGTGCGCACAACGCCTATCCGACACGGAGAGCGCCACCTCGCGACGTCAGTATCGCGCTATCCAGTGCGCGTCTCTCTCGCGATTTCATGGCGCTGACGTCTTTGATCGCTTTTTCAGGACCGAGGGAAGAAGCGCCCCATTCAAACATTCACGCATGGTCCGTGCCTATCTCGGTGGCTTGACTTGCTTGGTTACTGTCTAGTTAGACGATACGGTCTTGATTAGTGTCGGCACCCCTCTCCGAGGCTGGCTTGTTTCACCATCGCTTAGTCATGTAACTGGTACGCTGGGCTGCGACACAGCAAATGTCTACTTGGATCACTGCGCGTGCAGACAAGGCTCTTGGGGTTTGAAATCCGCCTAGTCCGCTGATTGCCATCAGTCTGAATCAAGGCGTGTTGATGGATGACAAGGGGGGTCGATGACGGATGGGGTGGTTTCGCATTCGGATTGTCGTCGTTTGTTCCTGATGGGCACTGATATAGAACGGCGAAGAAACGCCTCGAGGCCGAGGTCCGTGGCGGCGGCGGAGGGAAACACCGTGCTTCTGTTGTTCGGTAAGCAGGTGTGGTTTGTTGACGATTTCGGTGCGTCCAATTTGCGACTCGAGCACTTCAAATATGCCTGCTTGGCGACTACGCACGACGTCTCCTGGAGCTTTCGCTTACACGATGAACGGAATCTCGTCTCTGACTACTTCATGTCACCCTCGCCCTCGAGCTTCAGAACTCTCTTCGCGCTGGTAGACGTCCGCGCTGGGATGGCGCAAATCAGATGTGGCAATTGATAGCCACTCACGTCAGGGCATCAGGTGGTGGCCCGATTCCGCCTTCGCGTCTTCGTCTTCGTACTTCTGCGTGCCACGATCTCCGGAGCCTGTAATTACGGCCAGCTGACTGTCTGGGTGATTCACATGCTCGTGGTGACCGGAGCTGAGCCTCGGAGTGAACGTGGGGGTTTGTCAGCTAGTCGGTGCTTCGCACGTTGGGATGAGTTGGGAGATGAAGATGGTTTGGGTGCTTGGAAAGCCGTTTGTGGAAGATGGGAATATTAATGCGGTTTCGTCTGAACGCTTGGCATCATGTCGGTTGGATCAATCGACTTGGCTGGCTGAGAGAATGCTTGCTTCCTAGGGGATGTGGTACTGGTTCTGCCATATACGAACGGTTTAATTGCCGCACCTCAACGCACGAAGCTGTCTTCCAGCGGTGGCCGGTCTCGACCTGTCACGCGTGGCAGCGGGAACCAGATACCAGAACGCCATCGCGACGGATAGATGCAACCTTGGCTCCTTGCAACTCCTTCTGTAGGCCTGAGGCCTGATGTGCGAATGCGCAAGAGGCGTGTCCCGTTGAAGAGTTTGAGGCGTGCATCATCTCCTGACTACAAGCTAGCTCATCTCCGCCCGGACCTCGCGTACGCATCGCCTGGCCATCTCCTTGCTATCTATCTCTGTGCTCGCCGTCGCCCTAATCTCGTACCATGTTCATTTTCACATCATGCCGTACGTCACTAACTTGCGGGGAAACCCAGCTTCTTCATCTGACCGGGAAACAAGCCATCTCGGGATAGTGCTTACGCCTCCGCGGCCCAGCGCGGATGATGGTTGGCGCTGTCCTCCGGCAATTGTGCCTCATTAATGCTTCCGAGGTTTGAGGTTTGAGGTTTGATTTGGGTGGTGTGACTTTTGTCTGGGACGGGTCTTGCTCTTGCGCCTTGACTTCAAGTGCATTGCGAGGATGGGTTGATGGCCGCTGTTTGTAGGAGCCTGCCTGCGTTCAGCGCGTGTCTCAATGCAAGGCTTGGGCTGTAGACTTGCAACCCAGCCGGTCCGAGGGGAGGCGTCTGTTGATCAAGCAAGTGGACGAGCGCGAGATGCGATCTGGCGGGATCGGAAGAGTGAGTGCACCCGTCCCGTTAAATTACCTACAGGCTGGCGGGCGCCTTGCCCGAGTCGTGCTAGTTCGAACTTCCTCCCGCTCGTGTGCTCGCCTGACCGTCTGCGCGCATCTCGACGTGCTTGCTGGAACGGCAAGTCGATCATCCGGGGCTGCGATATCTGCTGCTGCTGCTGTCTCAGATAACAAGGGCCTTCTGGCCTGCGATGCGCGTCGCACTTCTGGTGACTAGCGTCCGGTGGCTTGACGTGCGTGTGTGCAGAATGCTTTAGAAAGGATGACAGATTGTGTGCAAGACGACAAATAAATCATCGGCGGTCCTGAAGCGTTCAAAAATAGATCCGCTGTGATCTTTTCTGCAGCCCGCATGCTCGATAGAGGACTCTGCAAGGTTATTGATCACCTGCCAAGCCCAGGTCGTGATCATATATGTGCACGCCCTGCCTTGCATTGGTGGCCACTGTCGCTGGACGATCTACCTGATCATCGTCATTTGGCAGGTCTGCCGCTTTGATGGGCGTTTGCCACGCAGGCATTTCGATGTGAGCATTCGCATTGCATATTCGGTGCGTGATTCTGTATTCATTTCAATTCGATGATGCCATTTCCCAGCGCGTATGCTGGACGGGCGTATCTGTGATGCATTACTCGTGTTTCACGTCATTCGCGTGTCGATACGATACCGCATGGCGCATTACTCGTCCTCGCGCGATAGTAGGTCTGGATCCTGGTGCTGGCGAGGAAATGCGGATGCTCTCTTGCAGTCCGAAGCAGCTCGCGTATGCGCTCGCGTAGGGATGGCGGCTGGTACCTGGACGGATGCCGCTGTATGGACTGGTGGACGTAAGGCGGACCTGACCTGACCTGGCGCCCTTGCAACTCCAACCCCAGAATCTACCCGTGACGTTATGCTTTGCGAGATCGCAGGCCCCGATGTCTTCATACGCACGATCTGATCGTTTGCTATTGACCTCTTTCACTCCGGTCGGCGATGTGATGGGCTTCTCATCACGAGGAATATGCCGAGCTCTCCTCCGTTCCCCGGTGTGATGCTCACTCCGGCCACTTCCGTTCCTTTTTTCAGGTCCAGCTCTCGCCGTTCGCTTATATGGCCACACGGGTTACTTACGTATGTTACCCGGCTCGCATCTTGGTCTGGCCCATCAAATGCATATGTCGCAAAGGGCGCTGCAATACACGTCGTGCAAGTAAGCACTTTGGCATCATCATGGGTTCAGTCATAGGCTGCGCACCGCTCTGCAAACGCATCGGTTTCGTCCACGCTCAGTGCCCGCGGATTCTACGGATCTTGAGCCTTGGACGTCAGCGGTTGGTGGTAGTTGGTAACGTCTCGGATTTCATTTGCTCTCAGATTGTCTGCTACGTCTATCTCAGTTCCAGGAATCTATCAGACAACAGCCTCAGCTTTCATTCAATACTAACGATCAAGATACGGCTTATGTGAGCAGTTGGGCCAACTTGGACCTGTCGTACTGTGTGTCAACATGACCGCCCGTCCTCTGATGTTGTCTTTTGCAAGCCAGACTTGACCTCTACTGAAAAGTGGCTGCTATACGCCTCTCGCAGATATCCTTGCATTGACCATAGTTTCATTCAACGTATCCTCCAACAGGGTGATGATTGTGGCCAGGGGTGTCATTCGCATCGATATATAGATAATCCACAATATGCATTTTCATCCACGGCCATAGGACTCTGAAAGCACCGCATCCCGTCCGATCTGCGCAGTTAACCAGAGCGCCGCCCAGTTAGTACCATGGTGGGGGACCACACGGGAATCCTGGGTGCTGTGGTTTTATTTTTCGACGTGCGTTCAGCAATTTGCTCTCGTGCACATTGACATGTGTACTGCTCTTTATCTCGCAGCATGTCTATCTGACCATGCTCTTCCAGTGAATGATCGGGGTTATGGCTCCAAGCCCGTTAATGAGTGGAGTGCTCTCTGCACACGCGGCGCCTTCATTGAGAGCTCTGCAAGTGGCTGTGCATCATGAACATAATGCATGCTTACAACAGACTGGCCATTGTGCACCCCGGTGCCCACGCGGGTCTTGTGGATTGGAGACGCGACGATAGGTTGATTGAAGCAGGCATTTGTGTGTAGGTGCCCACAGAGGCCGCCTTTGCGCTTGCTGCGTAGAGGGCCGTTGCGTGAATCTTATTCTCCTTCAACCTACGGAAAGTGCTGACGGGCAGAAACGCAGATAAATATCCAGCCCCAGTATAGATTTTCAATTTCAAAAACGTAGCATCTCCGTTGCAGTAAATGTGACCGCGACCTCCTATAGCTCGCCACCGTGCGGACGTACCAAGCTCAAGTTATTGCGATTTGGGGACTGAACGTTGCAACGTTGAACTCCACAGCGCAAAATTAGACTACCACCGTAGAGCTGATGAGATGGGTACAGACTCGCGGGGTGCACGCCGTGACGCCGCCGCGGTCTGTTTCAAATACAAGGTGTGCGCCACGATTAACTTGGATCCTGGCGAGTGCAGGCCATAAAGTTGGATAGCGGGATCGCATTAACTTGAACGTGACCGTTCTTCAATCACGCTCTCTCCCATCAGTGCCCTCGGCTGTCTCGCTAGCAAATGCCAAGACAAGCAGTATTTCTGCTATGTAGCATTCTGAGGTTTGATTGGGACACATGCCGCGTTTGTGTATGTGGACTTTGTCCTTGGTACGCGTATACATCATCGCCGCGGCGCTCGGCGCTGAAACGATGAACCTGTTGCAAGAGCGGGGATCATCCGACCCTTCTCCATTACCGAACGCCGTGCATCTTCATAGAGTCGAGCCAGTGGCTTTGAAGGTGGCCTGTGGCGGGTCAGGGCCCGCATATACTCTCTCAAAATCCTGCTTATTCGTCGAGACGTCATATTGCCACATTTTTGAGCTGTACATCTCGACACCAACGCAGACAGTACCAATGAGTCATAATAGTTCTCCACGTCACATCCCAATCGTAAAACCGCAAGTAATCACTTGCACGCAAACCAAGGATGCTCCACTGGCACCACTTCCGCCATAGTAATCATATCCTCGGGCGATATCTCAACATCTTCTCCAATAGATCTTCCAAGAGTTCAATCTGTGGCGCGGGGCGAGCTGGTCGCGAACAAGAAATAGCAATTCAAACAAAAAGACTCGGAAGAGAGCTCCAAGCTCGGAGCTTGCTGGCGTCGTCTCGAACTTGTCCCTTCGACTCGGCGTAATGTCGGGGACGTCGACAGGCCGGGTAACAAAAGCTCATAATGTGGCGCACGGACTCAACGGAGGTGGCGGGCGAGTATATTTTGCACTGGCTAGTAGCGAGAGACAAAAGACTGACCGGACGGACAATTGCCATTCCGCACAAACACAAGGGTCGTCACCCAACTGCAACATGCACGCACAATAAGACGGCACACAAGTTATGATACATTGGTATTGTACATCGACATGCAGATCCGAAACAAGGCAATTCCGAGAAGGTATGAAACCGAGTCCTAGCTATAATGACTACAATACAATATGTACGTGATTCCGAGATCCGAGACGATGACCAGAGAAGCTCTAAATAGAATCAGAGACAGAGGTATACAATAAGAGGCCCGAGAGGAGAAAAGTACCAGTGAAATAATAACCCTACAAATCCAATGATGTGCTTGACGTCTAGTGAGGCCCCGGGAAAGCCCGACCAGCCTAGATGACCAGAACATGAAGGTGAAAATTCTTCTATCTTGATCGAGGATGCCGAACGTGTACGCCAGGGGAATGACGAAGGAGTGCTTTGATTCGTTGATGTCTATCGCTGCGTTTCACCATGTCCGCGAACATGCCGGTCGAGGATATCGTTGCTGCGTTCGCGAGTCGCAGGTGCAGAAACGCGCAGTCTGCTGTGAGATAGCAACATGAGCCCCACGCTAGGATCATGAAGAACGGGGTTTGCATGCAGGTGGCGGGATGGAGATGCACGCGATGAGATAGAAGGACCTGTTGGGCCAGGACCATGGTGTTGTCAACTTCAAAACGTTGAAGCCAGCTTCAGTGTCGAGGCATGATACATGCGCGAGACAGATGCAGCGCAAGTAGAAGATGAGCAGCTGTTCTTCGTCAATGCCGACGACTGTTTCGGTAAGTTGTTTGATGGAGGAAAGATGATGCTGCGCCGTCCGCCAGATCGTGGAAGCTAGGAGCCAGTGGTCAGCGTTACGTTCGCAGCAGCTCACCGAGGCGGGCAAGGCAATGACGAAGCTCACTAACCTCCAGCAACCACCATAAGCCAGAGCCACCTTAGCAGTTTGCCCAGTAATCAGCCATCACGCCCACCGGTCATACAGGGTCTTCGCTCCCCTGCTCACAAGATCGACCACCACACCCAGCACATACCCCGAGTAACCCGAGCCCACAACCGCCGCACGGAACGTCACGTCCACCACATATCCTGCGCCCACTACACCCAGACCCGCCGCACGCACCGCCAGCCCGGGGACGTGGCCCGCCCCAGCGAGCGCCGCGTCCAGTGCGACCGTAGCCGCCTCACTCGCCGCCTCCCCGAGCCCACACGTCCGGCTCTCGCGCCACTTCCGCCTGCGGACCGCGGCCTTCTGGCGCTCACGCTGTGCATGGCGATGCTCACGCTGGCGTTCTCGCTCCTGTGCATGCCAAGGCTCTTCTTCTTTTTCTTCTTCATCTCCTTCTTCCTCGTCCTCGTCCTCATCATCATACTCGGGCTCCTGCTCCTCGGCGAAGCCCGTGCTCTCCGGTGTCATCTCGGCTAGCATCCTCATCAGCTCGGGCGACGATGCCAGCGCCGCGGTCCGCTCGTCCAAATCGAGTGAGTTGCTGCGAGAGCGGCTGATACGGGGCTTGGGGGGAGGATAGGGTTCGGCCTCCTCGCACGCTTCTTCGCTGTATTCGTCATCTACCTCTGTAGGTGCAGGTTGTTGTGAATGATCAACAGGGGGAGCAGGAGGAGGCTGATCGTCTATGAACGAATTCAAGGGTATTGAAGGCTCGACCCAATCACGACCAGTGGAATGTGACCTCGAATAGCCTATACTCGATGCGTACCCATATGATCCGCTCCGCATAACTTCATGCCGCAACCGTAGAAGGTCATCACTGACACCAGGGGAGGAGGTATATACCTGCCGCTCTCGCGGCGGTTTAAGTGCAGGCATAGGTGTCGGCATAGGCAACGGCGGGAGCCCGCCGGGGCCCAAGATCTTGCGCTCCATCTCTCCAGGTTTGTGCAAAGGACCGGAATGTTTCAGTCTGTACCGTGGAACACTTCCCCTTGGTGGCATAACGCGGCGCTGAGGCGGAGAATACCCGAAGCAGAAAGGTTCGTTCCGTATGCTGCGCGCACACTCCCAAAGGCGGGCGTGGAAGTTGTCCGGAGTGGGCCTGAGGCGCGGCGGCTCGGAGGTGGTTGTGATACGTGTCGTGCCACTCTGTTTGGGCTGCGCAGGCTTGGATGGAGAGCTTGTCGGCTGTTGTGCGGACTGTGGTTTCGCCAGGTCGCCGAGAGACAAGGAAGCAGGCTGGGAGGTGTTGGCACTGGGGGTGGACGTGCACGCGTTTTTGGCTGGCGTGATTGGAGTAATTTTGAGGGTCGTCGATGGCGTCGCAGTTGCAGCTTGGGAAAGATTGTTCGTCGCAAGTGATTTCGTCGTGCTTACACTTGGAGCCGCTGGCGGAGTACCTTGGAACGAGTTGTTGACAGGCACTTGCATCGTTGCTGATGCCGTTGTAGTGGCAGCTTGGACGGGATAACTACCGGCCGTGGACGTTGTTGCGCTTCCGGACGATGACGCAAATATACCATTTGATGGCGATTTCGATGGCCCATTGGAAGCAGAGCTTGGGTTTTGGGTCTTTGGGTCCGATGTCACCCCTCGTGACATATTCAGGAGTGCGTCCTTGAGAACGCATTCTGAGGACCCGCCCTCGGAACTCTTCGGCTCGAACGCAGGAAGAAGGGGCGTGCTCAAAACGCCCGTGCTGGTACTCGGTACAAAGCCAGTATTCCGTGTTGTCTGGGTTCCTAACGACGTCTGCAGAGAAGGCGTTCGCAACGATGGTCCAGAGCTCGAAAGTGCATTGGGGATGATTCCTGGCTGGTTGCCACTCATCTGGGTCCTGAGGGAGGTTTTAAAATCAGTGGATGGACGGGATTCCAGCAACTATCCACGTACAATGCGGGTGCTTGCACTGTGCTTGTTGCCGGCAGCGACTGTGTCGTATGAACGTTCGTCGAAAGCGCGATATTCTGCGGTATTGCGCTTGCACCCTGAACGAAAGTAGTTGCAGATGGGCCGTCTACTTGCATATCCCCCGCAGCGTCAGCATCCAAATCATCCATTTCGTAATCAATATCGTTGAGATCCTGCTCGCATTGCCTCGGTCAATACCAGAATAATGGATTCGCTCGGTCGACCTCCTTACCGTCATGTCGATGTCGACAACCTGCGGCACTTGTTGAACGGCCACAACTTGGATGTTGACACCGCCGTTATTCGGCGTAGGCGCAGTTGCGGCTTGTACAGGCGCGGCATGAGCAGGAAGAGCAGCCTGTGTGCTGGTGGAGTTGTTAGCAGGGGGCGCTTGCGTGACGACAGAGCCCGGAGGCGGAAGCATTGGCCCGGTAGAAATTTGATTAGACGGCGGCACCTGCGTAGGAGCACGACTGTCAGCGGGAGGCATCTGCGCCACAGTGACAAAACTGTTAGCAGGCAGTGCTCGTCCAGTGGTGGGATTGTAAGGAGGAGTCGTCAGTGCAGCAGTAAAGTTTGTTGAAGGCAGACGCGTCTGGAGATTGGCGACCACATGAGGTGGCGACGTTCCCCATACGAGAGGGTTCTCAGGCAGAGATGTCTGCGTTGTGATAGCATTACTCGACGGAACCATCTGCGCGGAGCGAGGGTTATTGGATGGAGGCGTCTGAGCCGAGGGGGTGGTACGAGGAGGGTGAATCTGCGTGGCGGCAAGACTCTGAGGTGGCCTCATCTGCGCAGCAGAATGGAATTGAGGAGATGGCATCAGTCTGGTGGGAGGCACTGGAGGCGGCAGCATCTGTGCGGCAGCACGGTTACCTCCATAATGCATCTGCGTGCTGGCAGAGACACTGGGAGGAGGCATCCTCGCTGAGCCAGAGCCGATAGGAGGCACCTGTGTACCGGTGGAGCTACGAGGAGTAGGGAACATCTGTGCAGCGACAGGCGACTGCGAGGAGTTGGCCTTCTCGTCGATCTTCGTAACAGCAGTCTTTGGAGCAGTCAGACATGGGGCATTCGAGCACGCATCTGCGGCACTCACCTTCGCACCAAGGCTGTGTTGGGCACTAGATCCTGCCGCGGAGCTAGCGGCAGCAGAGCCGTTTGAAGTCGGTATACAGATAGGGCCAGAACCGGCAACTGATACCATTGGAGTCGACACCTTGTTGGATGTGGCGGCCTGAGACCAAGTGACATTTCGTACGGCACCGTCGCCCTTGATTGAGTCGAGGCTGTTTGTGTTTTCAGAAGCGCCGGGATATACAGACATCTGACTTAGATCAACACGAGCGGGCCTTGGCGTCCCTGGCCTTGGGGGTGTTGGCATACCAGCGACATCGTGACTGTTATGTGAGGTGGCAACTTTGTTCTCGGGTTGGGCGGAGAGCGTTTGTTCGGAATGCTTAGTCGATGCAGCACCGCCCTGTGGCGTTGTGACCTTCGAGTTCGTAGATACACTGTTATGACTGCCAATCGCATTGCTGCTGGCGTTGTTTTGTGCAGCTTTGCCGCTTGCTAAAGGTAGGGAAGAGCTGAGCATGAGGTGTGGCGGTATCATACAGTCTGAATATCTTACCTATGGTTGTTGACACAGGTACAGTAGACGCTCCAGGGACATTATGAGAGGGTTCAGCAGCGATTTTGAAGGTCGATTGACGTCCGTAATCAGCAGCAGCTTTCGACAACTTAGCCATGAAAGGATCAGATAGGAATTAGAGAATGTATTGAGAGTACTTACACCACTGCATTGATCGACAGCTGACGTAGGATCTTGATCATTTACGACAGCGATGGGTTCGGCGGTGGTATAGATTGAACCAGCGAGCGCGGCAGGGATGTCGAAAACAAACTCTTTCGAAGAGAAATCAAATACATCGTCAACGGGCGTGATAAAGCTACCGAGCGCGTCAATCGGTCCAGCCATGGCAGTGTGGGATGTGGCGGTCGTTCCAGTAGTTGACTGCACGGATTTAGCGGAAGGTTCAGCAGCGTTCCCGCTGGCATCGGTCGTGGCGGCATCGGAAGTGGTTGTTGTATCAATCACATCAGCGGATTGGTCGACTGGTGCAATGAAGGATTCTCGCAGAGGCGATGGACGGGGTGTTGACTGAACAGGAGGAGCCGCAATCCATTTGCTTGATGCGGATGCGGTATAGTGTTTCGCTAGTCCGCGTTGCCTGCTTCCGTTGCCTCCGCCGTGCGTGTTTGCTGTTCTTCTGGCTCCTGTTCTCCTCATTATGAAGCTATTATGAGCAGGATCGTGAGCGTTAGTCTCAGAGCGCGGAGAGTGGCACAGATGGTGATAGTTGGAGGAAGAAAGGACAAAGGCACCGCTGTGTCTCAGCGATTCGAACTCCGTGCTCCGCCTTTGTTCTGATATTCTCCGCGAAAGGACCCTAAAAGGACCCTAATCCGCCGCCATTGTTCTCGCCACGAGGCTTGGACGGCCACGTTGCCTTCATGGCCAATGCTAATGGCCAATTGTGGCTGCTCCTTGCGCGGCATGCCTCATCAGAGCGAAGATATACGCGAGTACAATCCGAATTGATGGTGAGCGCAGTAGACCTAGCTCTCCGATGTGAGGTGTTGATCTTGCGGAGTCTGATCCGGGCGATATCGATCATCGCTAATCGTGAACGCAACAGTCAATCTCGCCGCTCTCGATCTCTGTTTATATATCCGGCAATACGTCGCAAAGTACAGAGCATGTTGACCTGGTTTTAACGCGCCTTCCAGCGCAGTCAGAGCAGTAATCCCCTCCGCATCACACAGAAAACGAAAGCTGTGGATGGACTACGAGCGACTCCGTCACATGTTGCTCTCTGGCGATCAGTAACGCACGTGGTGCTCCCTTACATGACATCGGCCAGCCATACTATAATGCTGGACCGCCATATTATTTCTGTACCCTCGTCTGCATGCCATTTGATAAATCTCGGCTCCGTGTTTTTCCGATGCCAACCTACAGAGCAAGAGAAAAACAGAATCGAGGCTTCAACTTGCGAAGGGGTCAAAAAGCATGCCAACATGGCTAGGAGTATGTCGGACCTCATTTATGCGAAGCATACTATGCCTTACGCATTCCGTAGCGTGCATTTACGTTATTGTCACTTCGTTGTCTCTCTTATAATCGTACCTCAACAAGAACCGCAAGAACCGCGCGCTTTGTCGCATCGCTCTTTGTACCTTCAATCGCGTCAGTTGTCCCAACGAGGATAACTGTAGCATTTGAGACGAGAATTTAGGGTGAGCACTTTGACTCCTAGATATCTTCTTGGTCGATTGTCGACCGATAGAAGCGCACGAGGCAACATGGATGATCACGAACACTTTATTAGGTGTCGTTTTTGGTTTCCGCAGCAAGCTGTCATTCGTCGTTCTGACAATTGCGCGCTCGTATCCCCCAGATCGGCGAGAACTCGCCGCCGGCCACGTTGGATGTAGTATACTGAAACCCCACGTGTCTCCGTGTATTCTTGCCACTGGCCAGAATCTGCCTACACACACCTGCAGAGTCTAAACATCTGCAAGTCATACGCATTGTCGCTACGCATCATTATCTGATTCGCGCTAGCCGACTTATCCGGGCCATCCGTCGGTAGGTTGCTCGAATGGCTGTGCAGCACTCGAAAAGGACTCCGTAGTTATGAAGTTCCTTGTAACACCTCTCTACGCTATGCAGAGTGCTGGATTGAAACGTCACGCATGCTTCTCCGTTGAACAGCAGATTCATTTTCACTTAAGCTGAGGCTAAACACCTGAGATGATATAGCTCGGGCGGGCAGATGGACTGTCCCTCGTGCTGTACCACGTCGATAGTACATGCCTTGTGGAAGTGACCAGTTCCCTTCAGGTGCTCTAGAGTACATACAAATCCATTTGACGCACAGTACATCGAAGGAAGATTCCTGGGACACCTTTGTCCCTTGTTCTTCAGTCTCTTCCGAGTAGACTACAACCTATTGCGAACCATCCCAATTATATGGATCAAAAAAATTTACGGACGTGTGACAGTGAGTTTGTCAAGTATATCGAACACCACTTCCAAAGCGATCAACCCGAAGCTGTTAGCTCCGAAAACCGTTTTGTTTCGCGAGCTGAAGTCCCATGCAAGCCAAGCTTGCGACAGAGCATAAGTTAGGTCACTATGTGAATAAGGTTGCGTTGGATTGAACAGCTGCAGCTTGATATGCTCGACAAGCGTCGACGAGTGCAAGTGCATCCGCTGTATACGATCTTGCCGCCAACGTTTCTGCGAACATTTCGCCATAATCGTTCCGACCACTACCTCTTCCTCGACCAGCCGCACGTCCGGCGCGTCGGAGAGTGTGTGAGTCATACAAATATAACGCAGCTCATCCGCGTACTTCTGGAAGAGCTTGGACATGTCCGCAACGTATCGGTCCTCATTGCGAGAGTGATGCAGCTGGTGTTCAATGGAGGGCTTCAAGGCCACTGAGATGGCATCTGACAGTGGCTTTACTTTGGATGAGCCTCCGTTGGTCGCGGGGCCCGCTTGGGACGACGCCGTCGGGTCCACAATTCGTATGTTTCGGTACAGTTCTCCGAGTGCACGGGTCGAATTGTAGAACTCTGTATGAAGTGGATTCACATCTTCAGCCTGTCGACGCTCGTGTCAATGTAGATTCATTGTAACGACTCTATGTTGAATCCCACCATGTGCCAGTCAGGTTTGTAAGGAATCAGATATCAAGGCAAGTCATGGATGTCCACGGGCACTCCGTTTTTGGGATAATCCACTGCTTGACTGCAGAGTTGAGCGAGCTTCAGACACTTCTTATCACGCGTCCCATTCTGGAATATGTATGAGCTGAGTGAACCAAACAAAGCGGCTCCAAGTACCTTCGATTGGTCTGGCAAGGAACAAATAAGCATGGACGACACAGCGAGCTGAAGACATCGATGACTTACCTGCTATTACGAGATGCCTGTCGGACAATAGACCCTGCCATTGAATAGCACAACGATTCTGGAAGTCCAATGAAATTCACATACGAGGACATCAGAGTTGAAATATTCAACAACGAAGTCGCATATGTCCTCTATTGTACTATCGCGGTCGAGCTCGTTCTTCTCGCCCGGAGGATACTCTGCTGGTTTTTCATGTTCTGGCGGGAGTAGCGCACCGTACTTGATGACAGAATAGAGATCTCTACGGAAGTGGTCAGCGTCATCTGGCTTGGGCGATGCAGAGTTCTCACCCATCTAAATCGCCACCTCCGAGACAGGACGCCAACGAACGGTCACCTAACAGAGTGACGTCAGCCAGCAACTACATGCCAAAGCCAAGATGATGCCTCACCGACTGATGGCAGCACAACGACGTTCTTCAGGTTGCGGAAGAAACAGACTTTGTCGGCTGGAGGTTCACCAATAGCAGTGACCCGTTGAACTGCATGATAATTAGGAATTATACAGGTAGATTAAATAACAAACCAACCATCTCCTGGATGGACCACTGGACTTCGCTCGATTATCACAGCACCTGCATGTGTGAAAGTTACAGGAAGCTCTCACGGATATAACAGAGACAATCGCACCTTTGAGGTACCTGGGAGCCTCATCATCTCGATCTTGTATGCACGCTGTAGCATGTCACGTCATAGTATGCACGGATGGTGGGTGCTGACGGACGTACCATAAATCTGGCCAGGACTCAGACAGAAGACATTCTCGACACCCTCTTGTTGGTAGGCAGGTCCTTCATCAGCGACGCCAACAAGTTTATAACTATCCGGGATAAGGATACGCGCTCCATGCCTGATGTCGCGCAAAACATGGTTTTTGGAGTATTGAATCAATCGGTCAATAAAAGGGTCGTCAATCGTGCGTTCTGGACCTTCGATCCCAAAGCCCATGCCAAGCTTCTCTAGGGACTCCAATATGTAAGGAAGGCGGAATGCTGCGCCCAGCTGATGGTCTCTGAGAAAGTCGATGGCATTTGCGATGGAATCCGTGGCTGTGTAAACAGCCGTCTTGGCAGTCTCCTGTAGCTTCAAAAAGGTCTTTTTATCGACGCCGCGGTCCTCCAGAATCATGACTAATGGGCTATCAAAAAGGCAAATGAGCCGATGCAACTACACGTACAAATCGTACTCACCGGTTCAGATAGCACTTTCCCGGTCGCTCAAATGCTCGGGCGATCTCAATCTCTGCCAGATCCTCGTTATGGGCCTTGAACTTGTTCATAGATGGCCTCAGTCTCATCTTAACACCGTCTAGTCGCGCATCGATGACTACCATGCCCTTATAACCTGCACTATCTCTTGAGAGAAGCCCTACTATGTACATGATTAGAATACGCACCAAGGAAACGTATCTGATACTAGTGGTTTCTCATCTCATAAGCCCTCACGTCCCTCGGACAGAGATTCACGAAAGACTTACGGCAGATGGTTTGATGCATCTTTGCCTCGATTCTGGTCTGGCATTGCATAGTGCTTCCCAAATCATATCACCTAATTGCACTGATATCGTACCAACGCCATCAGTGAACAGGTAATCTCCGTGTCCCAGATCATCCATCTCTTCCCAATGATCCTTCGTGATCGAGACCGACGGGTCGGTGGCTGTGAACGCCTGTGCTATGCGAGCTGCATATTTTGACGGTTGTCTAATAACGCCCGAGAAGTCACCCAGGCTATCTCTGATTCTCTGGGAGGTGACGTAGCCTTCGGTGGGGTGGTGGAAGGGATTCATGAACCAGACCGAATGCTCGCGCAGCGCCGAGGAGGAGTAAGCAAGGAACTCAAACTCACGTCCGGCGAGTTCAAAGCCATTCTTGAGGACTCCACCTACGCGCTCCTCGAGCAGAGACAGCCCGTCAACCTAGTACAGGAGATCAATCCATACGTCGCCGTGCCGCAACAAGTTCACAAACCTCACGCGCCCAACGATACTGCAATCGATCTTCATCTCTAAAATCTACTCTTATAAAGTGCTCTTGATGGTCCGCGTACCGGCGAATGACACGATTAGATTGTATCACGTAAGGACCTTCCAGGATCATCCGCGTTGGAGTGAATGTGATATGATGACAAGCGAAGTTGCCAGGAAGGAGGGGCGTGGATTCCACGTCTTCGTTTCGAATACGATTAAAGCACTGCATAGGAGTTTCCTCAGACTTACGAGAACGTAACTCCGCCGAGTAGAGGCGAAGAACCTCGCCAGCCTGCACGCGCTGCTTGTCGTAGAGGTCGACAACGGGCCCACGCAGGACACCGAGCAGGTCTTCAGTAGTCAACAAGCCATTATGAAGAAGAGCCTCAAGCTGGAAGGCAACGGGCCAGTCAAAAGAGCGCACCCATACTTTGATGTTGTGGAGCTTCTTTGGCAGGAAAAACCCACAGTTGTAGGCTTCGACCTTAGCCCGGACAGGACGCTGAAGACCTGCAACTTTGCATAGCTCTTCAAAGCAATCGACACCCTGCTCCTCGTTGAGGATGACACGAAGCTGGTGAGCATATGGCGCCACGACCGCATGAGTCGCAGTCAAACTACTAAGCCTTTGTCGAAACTTCCGATTATCTCTCCAGTCGTCACCAGTGAGCTCTCGGTTGATGCGCTGTTTCTCCAATATGGGCGGAGTCAATATATCAAAACAGATGACTGGGTGAGACAGTCAGATGTGATATGACTTATTTTTTGAGAGACATTACTGACAAGGATTACCGAAATCAAGGCCAACGGTGAGTTCACGTATATTAACAAAAGTGATGGCAATGTCATGCGCAGTCTCTTCTGTCATTGTATCTCCCATCTGTTGAAACTGACGATGAACAGCTCTTCTGAGGAACGATTTTGGACAGGCGTACTTGAATATGGATTAGCTTGCGGTCGTACTCGAACCTAAGCAACCCAGCGCCTTTATTTTTGTGACTGATTTCAAACTCGCAAGAGAAGGCTCGAGAAGCAGTCGATGATGATCCAGGCAATTGGTAGAATACGCCGAACTGGATCTTGTCAACGTGTAAGCTGACATCGAATTTCCGCAAGATCTCTTCCTTCTCTTCCTCCACATCCGGGCTGACGTATGGGACCTTCTCCAGTTTCTGGATCTTCCGCCTCTTACACATGTTATGGCTTCGATAGAAACATATCTTGGAGTCATTTATAGAGATAAAGTTGCCTTCGGCACGTATCCACTTCAGGAATTTGTCGCCAATTTTTCGAGAACCAACTGTCATTGTTCCTGTTCCATTATTTTCTACGCCACCACGGCCTCGCTTGAGCGTGACCATGAAGTTCCTGTGGAAGCACGCGGGGATAGAGTCGCATCGACTACGAGGTGTTAGGAAGGTACATACGCAGGACGATCCTTAGAATCCGTAGGATTAAAGAACTCCTCGCTGTGCAACACTTTCCCCACAGCGCGTTTGACATCCCAAACGCTCGCATTGAACGCAATGTTACTCAACGAAATCTCCATCTTACTCTTCCAGCCGCAACTAACTATAGCAGTATCTGTTGAGTGTTGTCACCGCGTCGTGAAGGTGGATGAGTGCACGAAGGAGGATACCAAAGCGCTCAGCGATATCGATGGATACCTGGCGAGTGATTGTCAATTGGCCACGGGGATGACACGGTCACGTGGTTGTACGCGCAACGCGTCGCGCGCTGAAATCGAACCAACACGTGTGTTTACGTAAGGTGGCTAACGTGTGTTCTGCACGACGGCAACGAGTTGTTCCAGGTTAGCACGCTCCTCATATCTCCTCCCGACACCCACTCCGACATCGACGGCGTTAGGCCTCCAACGATGTCCGCAGCCCTCTATATGACAATGCCGCCTCCACCTCGCCGCCACCCGCTCAGCGTACCCACCAACCATCATGCCGTCAACAGTCGACCCTCTCCTCCTGCGACCCCGCCCAAGCCGCAAGAACAACCAAAGCGGTCCGGCTCGCCACCTCTTCCTCGACAGAATACCAAAGTTGCACCTCCTTCACCTCCGAAGGTTATCACTGACAAGAGTCGCACACTTGAATTTCAACGGGTTGGATTGTTGGGCGAGGTACGCCTTCCTGTGCCATGTCACTTTTGTCTTCGCAATATGCTGCTCGACTCGACATCACGGCAGTTATATCCTGTCGTAGCGCATGCAACCTGCCTTAGAATACCGCAGGGCCAGCAGCAATTGTCGCAGTCGACATCATGTGCGGCGGTGCATGTTTTGCCGTGCTATTTAATTTGTTCCATGCACATTTTGTTTTCAACGCATACCCGAACGCATGCACATACGTGATTATGACGAGCAGATGATGACGGTATTAATTTTGTAGGGTGGCTTTGCACGTGTATATGAAGTGCAAGATCCTCGCGGACTGCGTGTGGCCTGCAAGGTGGTCACGAAATCCTCCCTCAAGACGAAGAAAGCAAAGACTAAGGTAATTCTCGCGTTTGGTGCCTTTCTGGCTCTTTCTGACCATCGTGCAGCTGTACGCGGAGATCAAGATACACCGTTCCCTTAATCACCCAAATATCGTTAATTTCCAGGAATGTTTCGAGGACGACGACAACGTATACATGACTCTAGAGCTATGCCACAACGGCTCCTTAATGGACATGCTCCGCCGACGAAGACGGTTCACTGAACCAGAAGCGCGTTTCTTCATGGTTGAACTGATCGGCGCTTGCCATTACATGCATACGCACCAGGTCATTCACCGGGATCTCAAGTTGGGGAACATATTCCTTGATAAGAACATGCATGTGAAGGTCGGTGACTTCGGGTTAGCCGCTCTCATCGAGAACCCAGGCGAACGCAAGAAAACCATTTGCGGGACGCCGAACTACATTGCACCAGAGGTTCTCTTCGACACTGCCAATGGCCATAGCTTTGAGGTGGACACCTGGTCAATCGGCGTGATTTTGTACACTCTTGTTGTCGGACGCCCACCTTTCCAAACAAAAGATGTCAAAGCAATCTACAAGTGAGCAAAACTCTATGATCCGCACTTTGCTTTAACATCCACGCTTCCAATAGGAGGATTCGTGACAACGAGTACGAGTTCCCCGCCGACCGCGCAGTCTCGTACCAAGTCCAAGAGCTCGTGCAGGTCATTCTGACCCCAAACCCGCAAGAACGACCCACCCTGCACGAGATCATCGATCACGCATGGTTCACTTCCGGGACTGTACCAGGCTATATCCCGGCCACAGCCCACGATGGAGTGCCTGACTTCCGCCACATCACGCGACCGATTTCAGAGGCGAATCTCGCCCGACTGAGAGGGAATGCCATGCTTGACAAGGATCAGTCTTCCAACATCGCTGTTCCGGGCGCGCGGCCATCAGGCGCTCCAGGTACTGGAGTGAGTGCAAATGTTGCCGGGATGAAGGGCGTGACGTCGAGTCTCGCGCAGCAAGAGAAGGAGTTCCACAAGGCGGTGCAGCCTGGCAGCCCGATCTCTGCTCTGCTCAGCTCTGCACGACAGCCGCTCATGGTCGGCCCGATGCCCACACGTGACGAGCAGCCCCTCATCCGCAAGCTGCAAGCTGCCAGAGATCACCGCGGCCCTGCTCGCCTCCGCATGCAGGCTTTCCCTGAGCCTGAGGACGATGGCGAGCTCAGGCGAGAAGAGCAGCGCAAGAAGGAGCTCGAATCGCAGAAGGCACGGATTGTTGCTCAGATGGCCACCACCGGTGCACCAGAGTCAGAGTACGCTCAGGATGGTCCGGAGAACCAGGAGAACGTCCCTCCTACGACCTACCGTGACAATCGTTCCAAAGAGCATGTCAAGAACAAGGACAAGGAACGAATTACCAAGGACGAACCTGCCTCAGCTGGCGCGAGCCCAACGAACTCTGGAAGTCTCCCGATAAAGCCTAACGGCTTCGATGCCGCAGCGCGAACGCTCACTGCTGCGTTCGAAGCTAAGGCAGCCGGACGATTGTTCAGAGATCCACGCGACGACGTAGACCTGCCAGACGCGAAAGTGTTCATAGCCTCCTGGGTAGATTATTGCAATAAGTACGGCATGGGCTACGCCCTGACGGACGGTTCCGTGGGCGTCCACTTCAACGACAGCACCACCATGATCTTGGCTCCGGATAAGAGGTGCGTTGATTGCCAAGCACGTGCAGGACGCTCACCGATCGAGAACCATCAACAGCCATTTCGATTACATCACGTCGAAGAGCAAAGGTATGGTCTATGTGCGCAAGAACCACACCATTGAAGACTATCCTGAGGATCTCAAGAGCAAGGTCTACCTGCTGAAGCACTTTGAGAAGTACATCATGGAGAAGTTATATGGTGATTACAACTACACGTTCGAGGACCGGGAACGCGTCAAGGGCATGGACTTCGTCGTCAAGTATCTCCGAATGAAGCATGTGATTGTGTTCAAGATGAGTCATGACGTCTTGCAGGTCAGTATATTCTCCCTAATGCATTTCGCTCTCGCTGACGCTCGGTACTGCTTAAAGTTCAATTTCTACGACCACTCAAAGGTGATCTTATCCTCACAGGGCCTGCTTATAACACACATCGACAAGAACTATAAACTCACGCGATGGACGCTCAGTGAGGTGATGGCACAGGCTCTCCGTCCTTCCCACGCCGATCCCGAGCGGGCCAAGTTCCACCAGCGTCTTGTCGACAAGTTGAAGTATTGCAAGGAGGTCCTGGTGTCTATCAAGAATGCTAGTGTTAGCCAGGTACAGGGACAGGCTCAGGCGGCTCCTGGATCTGCCATGGCTCCTGAGGAAGTGCCTTCTTCTGGGACGAGGTCATCGGTGTCGAGCAAGGCATCTAAGGTGTCTCTGCGCTAGCGCTCTTTCGCGTGGGATCTAGAGGAGAGTGACGATGTAGGTCGTCAGTCTTTCACAGTAACGAGAATCTTTTCCGGCATTTTACTATGATACACATCCATGGGACTGTGCCCTCTTGAACCTCTATCCCGTAGCATGGCGCACCACTATCGTGATTCCTGACTTTATTCTTCAGCGTCCTGGCGCAGTTGGACCCTTCTTGCCACCTTATGTTGACTTCCTCGTGTTGTGACGGTTCTTTGTACTATTGCCACTTTTTGCACTGCGGTTGGCCGTACGCAGGTGCGGAATTCCACCGACGTTCATGATATATGTCTATAGCGTTGTGCTCGTGTGAGTGCTGTATTGACGGGCTATGACCCGAATAGGTTCTACTTGCGCGCCGTACGTACTCGCTGTGTCCCCATGCATATCAGCAATGCCAGTAACGGATTGGTGATGCAGTGCGACACGTTTCATGGTACAGTCAAGCCATATTTTCGAAAGATCGATCTTGTTTGTAGGGGCTGTTCGCCCGAGACTAGAACCTGCGTGTAGATACTCTAATTTGATGGGCTCAGTGATCTTGCCACTGCGAGCCCTGCGTTCTCTGAGAGTATAAAGAGTGAAGATTACGGTGTCAGGGTGCGATTATGAGACAGATAGCTAGTGAGTAAGGTCACAAGTCACGGTGCTCTAACCTCGTCGAGTGAAGGCGGGACACACCAGCTGGATGGCAGGCTTCCGTGAGAGCTTGAGACAGGGCAGCTCTGATGCAGACAGAGCTTGCTGTCGCGATTCATGGGCTGACGCCCCCAGCGATTGTCGGATCACCACCTCGGTCTCGTTAGAGGAAGACAAAACGGCGGGGTGCTATATATATACATGCAGGTAGGCGCGCTGACTTTTTAGCCGCGGCGCTCGTTGCTATGCCGCCCAATTGCAACACTTGCTCTAGCCGCTCGGTAGCCATGAGATCTGTCCCTCGACAGCTCATTAGCTTTCTCTGAAGGTATATAGTTTAGTTGTTTAGCTCTAACGCCCCAGAGCTGGATCCCGCTTGTTCCCTCTTCGTTGTCGCAGTCCTCGTCGGTTTCATTGCTCACCCAATTTTAGTCCAGGCTCCTTCAGCTGTGCCGAGGGAGCAACAACCACCTTCTTAGACATGTCACCGGAAGACACTGCACTCACGTATGAGACTCACCATAGTCTATATTTGGCCACGCTCATGGTGATGCAGTTATGTGGAGGTATATCTGGTCTTCAAGAATCATTTCTTTTTTACGGTGACCGGTATGCTCGTCTTGTTGTTCCCATCATACTTTCGTTGTCTTGCTCATATTTGGCGCATTGCAGTGCTATGTTGCTACGACTACATCCTGACATTGGACCGTGAAATCAAATTCATATGGAAGGCCGACCTCTCATTTGCAACTTCACTTTACTACGCCTTCAGATATGCCGCGCTATGCAATACAATCATGGTACTGCTTACTCGGATTGCATGGCCAAGTTGGCAAAGTGTTCGAGTGAGTTTTCGTAGGCATATGGTGCCTTCATGCATGTTATGGCTGACTAAGTCGCACCACAGACGTGAGCAGATGCCAATCATTGGTACATCACTGCGCCCGGCTCACGCTTCTCATCGGTCCCCTTTTCAGCTGCGGCACCGTCTTGCGTGTGCAAATGGTATTAAATATAATTGTTCTGGTCAGTGCTACAAGTATGTTTGTTCTGCGACTGGCACATAATGAAGAATTTCACAACTTGGACAGTTTTTGCGGCATTACGGGTATATGCCATCTTCAGTTGCAATAAATGGATGTTCGGTCTCGTTGTCTTGTCCGGAATAATCAATCCAGTCATCTCGATCGTGAGACGTCCCAAACGCTTGCATTTTATGCTCAGCTAATGTCAATGGCTTGATGCAGTATATTTTCGCGGCAGCCTCGCCAGACCCTTTTGTGGTCACGCCTTTGCAAGCATGTATGGTTGACATCATCAGCGGCAATTCACCCTATGAAAGGTGTGTGTCCGGAACCTTTACAGCCGATATTGATTATTCTAACGTGCGCTTAGTTGTGCGTGAGACAATCTGACGAACATCTGAGTCGCATTTCCTAATCGTGTGCGCTACAGGGATGACGGCTGCAAGAGCTGCCTCACTCGTGTCTGATGGCTTGGTATTAACGTTGACATGCATGAGAACCGTCTGGAAGGCAGACTTAAGATTCATAAAATTGTCCCTTGGGTCATCCTTGCAGTATGTATTGTTGATGGACAGTACGTGTCTGCAAATATCCGCCGTTGTATACTGCTAATGCACATGCCGTTGTATTCCTTCAGCCACGCTATGGTTTGCGTGCGTACTAGCATTTGAGAAGCCAATGTAAGCTCACATCGCTAATGCTCAGCTTCCTCTGCGTCATCAACGTCATCGGCATTGCAAAAGGTCGCATGATTGAGGTATGGGACGCAGTTGCCATCTTGATGTCAAATTATGAACTTTTTTCTTGTCCAGTTCGTCGATATCTGGCAGATTTGGACGGGAATGTGAGTGGCGCCTCGATGATACTACTACAAGCACCTCGAACTGAGCACACGTGATAGTTTCAGTTCAATGTTACTGTCTCGGCTAGTACTCGACCTCCGCGAAGCCGCTGCAGCCGGGATCGAGAGCGAAGGGACGTTCTCTTATGCACAGTGGGATCTGGCTTTTGCTCCCGAAGAGGAGGGCTCAGTGGGTGAGCTCGACGACGTGGTGACCGAAGCTTCACATAGAATGGTACGCCGCTCAGTACTGAATGACGTGTCAAGCTAACGGATGAGTGAAGGAATCATAGGTTGCATGTGTGTCCCAACCATGTTCCTTCTGTCTACAGATTGGCCATTCAACATGAGTTTCGTGCCACTCGTGACTGGATGTTGAATGAAAGTCGTGAGAACGGTCTTCGAAGAGCAAATACCCACCGCTGTGTAGACGGATGGAAAACGAGTGGAAGGGAGGGCAGACGCTAGAGTCAAAGGCTTCAGCTCCTTGATGATAGAAGGACTATATTAGTAGTATGTACCTAGAATCAACTACGGTACATTAGTATGTAAGCTGCATTCATGCAGGACAGTATCGATACTCACAGGCTTCAGCTCCTTGATGATAGAAGGACTGAAGCCCGCAGAACGAGCGAAGCGGGTGAAAAGTCTTACGGGCGCTAATGCCTGATAAGTACATAAAAGGAAATACCAACTGATAAGTCCATACTTAAGTATAGCTAGGCTTGATATTCCAACACTTCCCCTCAAGCCAGGCGAAGTCCAAGCATTCCAGCGAACTTCTCCACCTTCTGGTGGGTCAACGCCTTGGTAAGAAGGTCGGCGACCATGTCATTGGTCAGGCAATACAAGATGACGGCGCGTTCCATATCGATAACCTCGCGAATGAAATGGTAGCGAATGTTGATATGCTTCGTTTGCGCATGAAGGAGTCCACTCTGCGCGATCGAGATTGCGCTCTGATTGTCGGCGTGTAACGGTGTCAGTTCCACCAGAGGTGAGGTGAGTTCCGTGAGAAGCGCGCGTAGCCACAACAGCTCGCGCGACACGTCAGATGCGGCAATGTATTCGGCCTCCGTGGAAGACAGCGCGAAGACCAGCTGACAGCTCCCCCAGAGTAGAGGAAGCTGTACGCTGAGATCGAGTGATGATGGGCTTGCGAGGCCCAGTCGGCATCAGTGTAACCTATAAGACCGTCGGTTGTCGCACTGAATGTCAAGGCCAGGTCGCGTGTGCCTTTAAGATAGTGCAGCACGCGTTTTGCGGCTTCCCGATGCACAGGCGCTGGATCAGCCATGAAGCGTGCCAGTGTCGAAGTGGCGAACGTGATGTCAGGACGTGTGCCGATAGCGGCGTACATAAGGCTCCCGACGAGCCTTGCATATAGCTTGCGAGCCATGTGCGCACGATCTTCGTCCGAGAGCTCGATACCGAAGAGGTTAATGTGGGGGTCCATCGGAACCGTGAGTACATAAGCGTTGGTCATGCCAAAGCGATCAAGTATCGTGTCGATGTACGCAGCTTGTGAAAGCGAGATGGTGCAGGCAGTGCGGTCATGGCAAATTTCAAATCCTAGCAGCCAGTGCACCTTGCCCAGGTCAACAATTTTGAACTGTGCGGTGAGCTCCCGCTTGAGATCGGTCATGGTGGCCATCATATTGGTGATCAGTGTGCAGTCGTCGACATGAATCACTATGATAATGATGATGTTAGAGACGAAGGCAAAGAACACACCAAAGTCGTGTTTGCTTCGCTCTAGACCCAGGCCAGTGAACAGCTTACAGAGCTGAATATACCACTGTCAGCCAGCCTGTTTGAGGCCATACAGTGCCTTGATGAGCCTCCAGACATAGTCTTCATGTCCGGGAACCTCGAAACCATGCGGCTGTTTCATATAGATGGTCTTGTCAAGCTCGCCATTCAGATATGTGTTTTTGAAGTCTATCTGGTGGATTTCCCAGTCATTAGCAGCGGCAAGTGTGAGTGCGAGCTGTAGCGACGCAAGACTTGCTGTTGGTGACGCTGTCTGGTCGAAGTCGATGTCCGGGATCTGCGAGAACCCTTGCGTGCACAGGCGCGCCTTGTACTTCATGATCTCATTGTTCTCATCATGTTTCCTGCAGAGTGATTATACTGACCTGACGACATGCGCGTTCTCTGGCTTCTCAACTAGCTTGTAGGTCCCCATCGCCTCTATCTTTGCCAGCTCCTCCTGCATCGCCTCTCACCATTGCTCGCATTCCAGCCTAGCCATCACCTTGCGGTACAATGGAGTGTCGCCAGCCATGGCCGCCAGAGCATAGAGGGTCTCCCCCTCATCATCGAACTTGTCCTCCAGCTGATCCTGCATGAGCTTCACGTGCTCGAGAATGCTCCTCAGAATGCGCTGTGCGCCGCGTCCACCGGTGGTGCCGGTACCTGACTGTAAGTCACGTATCCATTGAGATGGCTGACATACGCATTTAGGACGTCCAGCTCCTGGCTTGGGCATGCTCTCCGGCTTGGTCACCATGCTCTCTGGCTGCGGCAGCTCAGCGTTCACGTTTGTTGACTCATTCGGGATGGTTGCAGGCGGTTGAACGGCGTTGGATGGTGCAATGGTCGTGGCTGATGTGGAGGTCGATGGAGGTTGGAGTGAAGTGCCCGTAGGCACGTTCTGGCCACTTTTGGCCTTATTTGGCTCCCCCTCAGGCACGTTGACGGAGATGGGTGCATTTTCCTCGACGAAACACACGTCGCGTTCGACGGACACCTTGCGCTTGTTGGCCCAGTACACGCGGTGGCCCTTGCTGTGCGCATCGAACCCAACCCAGCAGCCTGGATGTGACTTCAGATCGAGCTTCAAGGCTGCATCAATGCGCACCCATACAGTGCATCCAAAATGCAGTAGGGGGTCAAGATGGGGTTTCTTGCCGGTAGCGTGTTTGTGCAGGGTCGACCCAGGGGTGCTGTGCATCATCGTGCAGTTGCGAAGCCACATGGTGTGCATGGCAGACTCAGCCCATAGGAATTTGGGGAGGTCCGCATCGAAGAGTAGCATGCGGGAGTGCTCGGCAAGCATACGGTTAATGCGTTCGGCTTTGCCGTTCTCCTGTGGGGAGTCATGCATGGTCCGGTGATGGTGCGTACCTTCGCTCTTCAGGTAAGTCTGGAACTTTGTACTCATGTACTCCCCTCCATTATCGCTCTGCAGCTCCTTGATGGCCTTGACACCTCAGTGAGTTTTCGTCCACGAGCTGTAGGCCTTGTAACGAGCGAGGACATTGCTTTTGCGGGCAATAGGGCAGATGATCACCTCATCCGAGTAATCGTCTATAAAGGAGACGTAGTACTCCTTGCCTGCTAGGGACTTCACCGGCACCTTCTCCCATACATCCGTGTGCACACGCTGACCGTACGCGGTCACTTGTGGGCTCGAGCGTGCCTTCAGGAATGACTCACGAGTCTGCTTCACCTTTGTGCATGGTTCACAAAAATCGGTGGTCGAGTCCTCGAGTCGCACTCCAGTGACAATATTGGCCTCAACCATTTTCTTGAGGGCAGGGGCATGGGCATGTGCCATGTGATGGTGGAACTTGGTGAGTGACAGCATGTCCTCAATGCTGTGTCCTTCATGGGTGCTGATGGGATCGGCGATCCAGGTAGGGGGTACAGACCATTGCACTCGGCAGCTACAAACACGGTGGTACCTTGAGGGGAGACGACATGGCACCCGTCGTGCTCGAAACAGATGGTGTAGCCAGCCTTCGTAGTGCAGCTGATGGAGATGAGAGTGAAGGGCATGGACGGTGCATAGAGGACATCACGTAGCGTAAACTTCACGCTTCTTCCCTTGTGTACAGTATCGACACAAACATCGCCTTCGCCTGTGGCATAGAAGATACGTCTGTCAGCTGAAGTGATCGGCTTGCGCTCGATCTCCCGGAAGGTGATGAAATTCACGCATACCGGATCGAAGTGTCAGCTTGTGCCAGAATCGAGAATTCTGGTGAGCTTCAGGAGCTTCGCTCCCTCGACCTTCGAAAAGTCAGTCGCAATGGCGAATGCGAAAGCCTCATCGTTCCCTGTTGCTGCCGCATTCGCACTGGCTCCCCCGGAGCCCTTGTCATGCTTCCTTCCCTGGTTCTTGCTCCGTGGCCCTTGGCCCTCCTTTCCACCACCCTTTGCCCAGCAGTCCTCTTTTAGGTGGCCGGGCTTGCTGCAATTGTTGCATTTCTTCCTCACGTCCTTGCCGCCTGACCTCGTCATGAGCGCAGAGTCATCCGCAGTGCTCTGCGACTCGTCTAGATCAAACTCATCGCATGCGACTGAGTAGATCTGGCGTAAGAGTTCATCAGATGCGATGGTGGGAGTGGGAGTTGTGGTGGTGCCAGTAGCCTGCATGGAAGCCAGGTGAGCAGCGGAGAGGATGGTGCATACAACAGGGCAATAAGACTCTGGAAGGCAGCTGATGATGAGCATGCGGTATTGCTTGTCGTCAAGAATGCTGCCAGCTGTCGTGAACTCGGCCTTGAGCTTTTGGAGCCTATCTAGAATCGGTCCGGGGTCCTTCTCCTCAGTGCAGCGGAGAGCATGCATCTGTCGGAGTAGTTCAGCCTGTACAAAGTCACCACGGTTGTCGTACTCAGCTATGACACCTTCCAAGCTCCGGACGCCTTCTTCTCGGGGATAATCCGGAGTTTCAGTGTTTCTGGTAGCGTCTGGTATAGAAGCATTTCGATCGCCTCATGTCTGGTGGCCCGAGTGTCGTACGCATCTGCGTATGCCTCGTCTGCATCGCAATCTACCCCTGGAGCTGTGGGTGCAGTAGGCTCCTTGTCGCGGCCATCGAGATATCGCATCAGCTTCTTCGCCGTTACGGTGAACCTGAGTTGCTCCTTATAGAGCACCCAGTTCGATCCATCTTCCGCGAGGCGGGGGATTCTGACTGATGATTCGTGATTGCTGAGCGACATCTCGTAGTGGTCGGCGGGGCTCATAACCTGTAGATGGATGAAAAACGAGTGGAAGGGAGGGCAGATGCTAGAGTCAAAGGCTTCAGCTCCTTGATGATAGAAGAACTATATTAGTAGTATGTACCTAGAGTCAACTACGGTACATTAGTATGTAAGCTGCATTCATGCAGGACAGTATCGATACTCACAGGCTTCAGCTCCTTGATGAAAGAAGGACTGAAGCCCGCAGAACGAGCGAAGCGGGTGAAAAGTCTTACGGGCGCTAATGCCTGATAAGTACATAAAAGGAAATACCAACTGATAAGTCCATACTTAAGTATAGCTAGGCTTGATATTCC